TGCGGTGGCTACTTCCGCACGTCCGCTACTTTTTCTGCGCTAATGGCGTGGTACTACATCCGCAAAAGGTCGGACGCAGCAATCGCTTGCGGATCCGATCTCTCACTCCCAGTTTTTCCATCGAACTCACGCATCTGGACAAGTTGCGACCGGAATGTCATTGCCACCTACAGCCACCATGGAAGACGTACACACGTCCTGGCTTGCCGCTGGTGCCAATGAAGATGTCGAAACGATGCGCCAATTGTGGAAACAATTCCCCGAGTGGCTCAACTTCCAACGAGTACGTAGCGAACTCTTTTACTTGGTCCAGATCGAGCTGACAAAACTATGATGTTGCTAGCAAATTGAGTCCGATACGTCGGACTCGCTACTTGAGCGTCAAACTCGGTTTTGCAGCTGGAGTGGCTTCCATCTGCGCACAATTGGTGCCTCTGCACTACACACCGCTACGTGGGCAGAGAGTCTTGGCATCCTCGAGTTTCTGCTGGAATTTGGCCAAAATCCAGATGAAGGAGACGACAGCGGAGTGACGGCCGTTATGGTGGCTATCCTACGTCTTAACCTCGTGACAATGCGCTGCGTACTACGTAACGGCGAGGCCGTGCGCCGAAACACGGTCGTTGATGTACGTGCCTTTAAATCACTGCTCTTAGCTATGACATTTACGTAACTTTGGTTGATCTCTCAGTGTCGTCAAGAGCAGGACGAGTGCGTATCTTCAGTGATCGCTGTGATCAAGTTGCTACTGAAATTTGGTGCAAACGTCAATGCTCGAAGCCAGGTACACAATCGCGCTAGGAGATATACTGAACTTAAGAAGAAGCGCTAACTGCACTGTTAACAGGACGGGAAGACGGCTTTACATTGCTCCACTTTCGACGATGCCTACGAGGTAGCCAAGGTTCTGCTGGATGCTGGGGCCACGATAAACGCAGTGGATGAGGTAGGCGCTGGCTGATAATGGACAGTCCCATCTGAACCGTCTCGACTGACACCGCTCTTTTTGCTGTAGAATGGCAGGACACCGCTCCATTACTGTGTCCACGAAGGAGGCTTACAAGTGACTGACCTCTTGCTCTCTCGTGGAGCGAATATCGACGCAGAAAACAAAGACGGCGTCTCTCCGTTGAAGCTTATGGTACAGCGTGCTAACGTGAACACTCTTCAGCTCTTCCTGAACCATCATCACTGTGTAGTTACTCCTCATCGACACTACTTTGCTGAAACAGTATTATTCCAAGCTGTGGATATTCGAGAGGAGAATCTGGTGAGATATATCGTGGAGAATGAATATGCATCCGTGGCGGCGCGAAACTCTGACGGGGAAACCACATTCCACCGGGCTATCTTCAAGCGAGGCTCTTCTCTTATGAAGCTACTGGCTGACTTTGACTCTGCTGGGGACAACTTGACCGCTACTACTGTGAACTTCGAGACACCTGCACACTACGCTGTTAAGTACGGATCTCATCGTGAGGTGGAAACGCTGTTGCAGTGTTTGACGAGCGTGTTCGGCGACTTACTGCAACTTGGAGAGACCAACCCGTTGAACTCTATGAACCTACAAGGCATGACGAGTCTCTATATCGCTGCAACTACAACGGTTCGCTCTGGGATTGATCCAGTCATTCCATGGAGGCCTAGTGAAGATGTGTGTCTCGTCGAGCGCAACTTAAAGGCCACATTGCTGATACAGCATGGAGCAAGACTATTCCCACGAGACAAACTGATACAATCGATATCGACCGACAGTTCTCGTATCATTCTCCCGTTACAAGTACAACATTGTTTACGCAGTTGGCTCGTGGAAGAAGTCTGGGATGTAGCGGATGAGGAGCCCGAGGACGAAGAAACAGCTCATGCTGGGACTGACAGGAGTCTGGTCGAAGCATTAACGCAGTTGTGTGTACAGTGGATGTCTGGTGTCGCGTGTGTTGGCAAACGGGCATCGCTACTCCCTATTTTCATCTGTGCCGACTACGCACACGAGATTGTACCGCTGCTTGTTGGGCTCCCTGTGCAACGCTGGGCACTACCAGCTTTACTACGTCAGCTGGAGAAGTTTGCAAGATACCAGCTCCGCCACCGTCTTCTTCTGCAGCTCCACGACGAGCTACGGGAAGCACTTCAAACAGTTGGGATGTTGGTTTAGGTTGTAAAGAGCACAGCAGTATTGTCGAAGTCATGCAAATTGTTTCGGTCTAAGTGGATGCACCGTCGCCGCCTGTGGTACGACCATTATTTTCTCGTAGTCCTCGAGCAAGGCAGACACTAGAGTTGCACTGGGATTGGCGTTGTTGCAATGCACAACTTCAATGGCTGCTAGAGGCAGTTGTTTACGGGTATGGAATCTACGATGGATAGTGTCCCTTTGTCATATCGTAAGTCCCTTTGTCGTATCGTACGTTCCAGAATCCGTCGCGAATGCTGCAAAAGCAGCAAAAAAAAAAAAAAAAAAATCGCGATACCTTACTTTTTGTCGATGGATGCTTTGTACCGAGTCACGCTCGTTGCCACCACTGCGAACGCAATAGGTCTATTGTGAAATGGCTTATATCCTGGATATTTGGTTCAGTTGGCATGTGCAGGAATCTCCGACATCTTTGGAGTTTTACGAACAAAATCGATGCAGTGTATATAGGAAACGGCGAATGTTATTCGACGTCATCGCTGCCATCCCCTTCTACGGCGTCTTGTTCGTATTTAACTGTCGGCCGTGGATGAAACTTCTTCGATGTGTCAAAATCGTCAACGTCATGGGGTATTTGGACGAGATAAATCGTCGTAGCGTGGTAAACGAGCTCACCCACTTCTGGCACGTGTGGATGATGTACTTGTTAGTTATCCATTGGGTTGCTTGCAGCTACTTGGCCGTGGCTACGGAGGTAGGCTTTGGTACAGAATGGGAGTCCTGGCTTCCGTCTCAAGAGCTGGAAATCTCGGATCCTGAAAATCCATCCTCATCCCAATTATCTAAACG